AAAAAAAAAAAAAAAAAAAAAAAAAAAAAAGGAACTACATACATAATGCGGTCCCCGACGCGTTTAGGCAGTGTTCATCAAACCGGGGTCGCGTTTTTCGCTCGCACAGATGGACATATACATACACACGTATACACAATTCATACATTCAGTATCAAAAATAGATTATAGCCAACTTTTTGTACGATGCACATCGTTGCCGAGGAAAAAATTTGACTCGACTTTTTCTTCTTTTTTATACATGATATAGATTAATATAAAGTTTTCCTCTTAATGAATCTCTATTGCGGCCTCGATGAAAGATGTTAATTTCCTTTAGCCGATTTCTATTTTTCTGACAAATTTCTGCTTTTTTTAAGATCCGAGAAAATAGAAACGCATGGATCGTTTATATTGGAAAAATCGATACTCGAAAAAATTAGTTTTGTTTTTAACACTTTTCTTCAGACATTAAAAAATGCAGAAAATGTAATAAAATTTGAAAAGTCGAATCTTTTTACCCTCAGATTAGAATATTGCGTATTGCGACTCGACGTGCTATGCATCTGAAATATAATATTTTCAAAAGTAACGACGAATAGCACGAGTTCGCAAGTCTCGCAGTCGCAAGAAAAATTCTTCGTCCTTTGTTGTTAAAGGTGGATTATGTAAATTTTGTTAGCGATGACAATCGCAATAATAAAGATTATTACTCGATGATCCGTCTAACTCAAGTTCTTGCTGATAGAGAGACTTCATTATACAACAATATTTCCTATTCACGAGACAATTTCCTCGGCAATTGATGTTAGTGGTGATATACATTTACACACATTGTTTCTCATATGTAGTAATATGTTTCGAGTTTCTCACACTTCATGTATCATGTAAAAAAGTACATCTGGCATCTATCTGTGTATATATATATATGTATGTGTGTATATATGTACGTCTATGCATATATGCATATACTATATATATATGTGTGTGGATGAGAGATAGAGAGTGTGTGTATGTGTGTGCGTGCGTGTAGATATAAGTATATGTATATGTATATATGTATATATATGCTTACACACTTATATACATAGTATGCATATACATACATGTATACGCGTGTACGTATGCGTTTCTTATACCTTGCGATTTGCGACTTCTTCTCATGCATATTTCATCCCGCGTCGTTTTTTCGTACACGTACTACGAGAGGAGGACACGCGGCGTCATTGATGCTCGTAAGTGTCTCGGGCTTCCACAATGACTTGCATTTAAATTCTCCTCGAAAACGTCTAGAAAATGCCGCTAAACGAGGACACACACACAAAGATCGAGATGTTGCTTCGAATCAACTTGGTTTTTAGTTTATTTTTCCCCTTTTAATTGCTATTCTCTTTTCCTTCTTCTTCTTTAAATTATATTCTTCAGTCATTTTTTTTTCTTTCTTCTCGAATTGGCAAGAGATAAGGATTTTCTTGCGATAAAATGCCCGCTCTGTCCTCTTCGTGTTTGTCGAGCAAAACAGAAACGAATGTACCTTATCGCCGCGTGCGTGCGTGCCACTCCGCTCGTTCTTCATCCATAATCGGTTATCGAATTTCTTCCCCAAGACAAAAGTAGCGAACGTGAGCCGAATCGAGCGACATTTTTATAATTGACCACAATAATCCATTATCACGCGTTCATATGACCAATGTTTTCGTTTCATACGTGTCGTCGCATGTAAACGATCGGGAATACTCGATCCGAACCGGGATCGAATCCCTGAGAACCGTACGTCCGATTTCGCCTCACGCTATATGAATTAAGACAGCGGATAATGTTCCGTGATTTTATACTTTATTACCGACATTAACTGATACTCTGTGTGTGCCCATTTGTCTATCAAACGTATAGTAGATATAACGTACATAGCAATATTGTCCCAAACGCACGTGGTTATTTGTACAAAGTATTCCGCAATAGAATTTTGCATTTTCCTCTTTCCAAGAGCCGGGAAAATTACACTTCTATGTAACAGGTTTTCACGATGAAATGCAATCATCCTTGGAAACCGGTGCTTTACACCAGTTGAAATTATTTTACTTAATTTTAGCTCTGCCATCTTAGGTTCATCCCGACGTTTCTTTTTCTTATTGTTGTTGTCCTTCCTTTTTTTTTTTTACCGTTTAATTTATGTATATTATGACTCGCGCCAAAATATCAGAAAAACGTTTTCGACCTCGTATCGGTACATCGATCTCAACTTCTTGTACATATATCATCCGACATTTTTTCGTTGCGATATTCAAACATTTATTCAAAACATTTTGAAGAAGAACTTTCTTAACACGTGCGAATCCGTTAATCGTCATTGGAGCTCGATATATTCATAAGGATCGTTTCATTACGCCCATGGTACCGTTTTCATTCTAGAAAGTCACGTGGTATGAAAAGCAATATTATTCATCGCTTTGTAAATAGCATAATATTTATTTAAGCGCATCGAGAGGCAAAGTACCTGTGCATCCTGTATGAAGAATGTTCCTCCGATTTTCTCAGCCATTACTTGCAGAAGTACAACGGGGATCATCACGGGGATCATCACGGGGATTCGTTCACGATCGATTAATTTTGTTATATTTTCATGCATCTTTTTGTATACCGAGAACAACTGATTTATTTTTCATTTGTACCGTTTGAATGACGTCCAAATACTGGAAAAATACATTTATTATATAAAAAATTATTTTTACTCTCAATCCTTTATAACTGCGCACAATTTCAAAAACTCCCCGGTTTTCTCACTAACAAATAACATTGAAGAAAGTATCCATTGGAGGTATAAGAAAATGATGAAACAGAAATGACAAAATACCCGAGTACCTTTAGAGAATCGTCGAGAGAAAAGTGCATTAGACGTATGGTTCAAAGTAATTCGAAACTTCGATCGAAAGAGTAAACCGACTGGTTTTACCAAGCATCGCAATTTGACTATTTTTCTCAAACGATTTTCAAATTACTTTGAACCGCTTGTCACGCGGAAGTATTTTTCTCAGATATGTTAGAAGCAACCCTTGCCATTTCGTATATTCGTTTATAATTTCGTTCATTAATCACTTCGATCCGATTCAATCGACAGTGACATAGTAATTTCGCTGATCTTACAAACAGCGTGCAACTTTCAAAGAATATCAACCATCTTGCCGGAACGATCAGGTTACGCATTTCAATGGACGATCTTTCTTATTGAGAAATTTATAAAGCTATCATTGCCCGAGGATCTCGTTCCTTTTTCAGAATATTACATCTGATGAAGTTTCATGATGAATCATCAGCCTTGAAGCGATCTCGTTCGGTGCGCGTCTGTCCCGCGTTCCGAATGAAATTCGAATCGTCGAAGCATCGCGATGGAAAGCACATTGTCTCGTTTCTTTATTGTTCGCGTTATTACGACTCATTAAAAAAAGAAAACGAAAAAAAGAAATGAAGAAAATTGTTCATCAATAGTTTGCTGAGAATAAAAAGAGAAACGAGATACAAGAGAAAAGATGGTCGCGAACAAATCCTCGCGAGGGAACGTGTCCTCGAGAGGAAACAATGGAAATGCTGCGACACTGCAAAGCATATAATGAACTCCCCTGTTTTGTGTTTCCCTCCCACTCGATCTTTCATTCCCCTCTCTTTTCATTTTGTTGCACCGAAATAACCAGAAACTCCTTATCTTTGTTTAACGTCGTATATAACGTAGGTATATAGGAAAGTGTGCGCGCGTTAAATGCACGGATAAAAATGATTAATGTAAACTAACCACGAAGAGGCGTCAAGGAAAAAAAGAAACAAGCGAAATGATTCTTTTCCTCGACGATCGACCGAGATACGTATACATTTGTATACCGTACGCATTGTGCATCTGTAAAGATGTCGTTGGAAAGAAAAAAATTGATATTTTCACCGATCGTGTCCCCTCTGGCAACCTCGAACTTTGTTTTTTCTATCGTAAATAGACGTGTCTCTCTCTCTCTCTCTCTCTCGACAAAAGGCACACCCGAACCTCGTCCGCTAGACTTTCAAAACGCTTTTTGTTATTTCCGTCGCTTGAAAGCGACCCACGTGTATTAAGCATACATACATGTGTGTGTAGAAGCTGCTCGATTACGTAAGTTGTTTTTTCTATCGTAAATAGACGTGTCATCGTAAATAGACGTGTCTCTCTCTCTCTCTCTCTCTCGACAAAAGGCACACCCGAACCTCGTCCGCTAGACTTTCAAAACGCTTTTTGTTATTTCCGTCGCTTGAAAGCGACCCACGTGTATTAAGCATACATACATGTGTGTGTAGAAGCTGCTCGATTACGTAAGCTTAACCTCGGATGATCGATGAATAGAAGGAGGTCGTACCGAATATATACCGATCGTTTTCTTTCTTGAATCATCAGTCGTGTTTCGGGAGAGACACTTTTCTTGAGGTCACCGTTTATACACACATGTACATATGTATATATAGTAAGACACACATTACGCACATTATATTCGCGTCGTGGAATCGTAATTCGTTTGCAGCTCGATCGATGGCAACGTACTCATC